CCCTGTGTGGCAGGGGGAAGGTGCCTCCTTACTGCTCCCCATGTGACCTCACATGACACATGGGTGGTGGGGGTGGGGATACCCCTCAATACAGCCAGGTGCATGTAGAAGTCTAGGTTCCTCACTTTGCATTTGCTGACAAGACTGGGCCGGGGCTGCAGTGTTTTGTTTGGAGTAGGGTGACTATAATGCTTTGGTCCTTTGACTACATAAAGCCAATGTTTCTGGAAGCTATTTTTTCTTTTCTTTATTTTTTCTTTCTTTCTTTCTTTTTTTTGGTCTGTGCCATTGGTGCTTCTGGATTGCTGGCTTCTCCAACACAGTCCAGGATATATGAAACAAAAACCAAACTCCCTCTCACCCAGATAACCCATTGCTATGTCTTTCCTCAGACTCCAAAGTCTCTAGTCAATCTGCTTTTCTGAGCTTTATGTTTGCTTTATATGTGATGCCCAGGGTTTTTAGCGGTACTTTGCGAGAAGAATAGGGAGAAGTGTATCTATTCCATCTTTATCCATAACTGGCATCTGACAAAGTGCTTTTAAATGGCCACTTCTCTTCTAAAAACACAAATCTGATCATGTCTCCACCCTTCTTAAAACCCTCTTAAAGCACCCATTGTCCAAAGGATAAAATTCTAACCCCTTAATGTTGATATTTAAGATTCTTCACTATCTCACCACGAGTAAAAACAATCATGTCTTCTGCAGCTGCCCACCATGCACATGTCCTCACCAGCTGCAAAGAATTTCTTATGCACCATTTCTTCAATGCACCATGCTTTTTCATGGTTCCTTGTTTTGCACATGCTGGTGCACATGCAGTCTGCTGGGCCTACCTTTCTCCTCTTCCCTGTTGGCACGCACCTAGCTTTTCTTCAAACCTATTTCTTGTATTACCTACAGTGAAGTCTTCTGAGACTCTACCACAGTTATTTGATCCCTTCTCAGTGCCACCCTGGTAGTATGAACATACCTTAATAACTTATTTAATATTTCTTCTTTGAGTTGATCTCTTCTACCAGAGCTCTTTGAGGTGGGATTGTCTGTATAGGTTTCTGTCCCATTCAATTGTAAATTCTTCGAGGTTGAACTGTGCCTGTCTTATTTATCAGTGTATCTTCAGCACATAGCACTGTGCCTGGCATGTATTTGGCACTTAACAAATGTTTATTAAACGAATAAATGAGTAGTAACTTTCCGATATTAGAGCAACCAAAAATCGTTAGCTGTGTGACTAGGCTTTTATCATTACCGTATATTCCTTTTAATTTTTCCTCTAAATGAAGTGACTTTGGAAAAGTATAATGATAATTTAACCACTTCCACATCCTGCTACTTTCTTCCTTCCCAAGGACTTCTGGCTTTCAGATTGTTTTCATACATACCTGCTGCCACCACTGCTATCCTCAGGAGGTTGACCATTTGAGAGCAGGGCTGTCCTGTTGGTTGGGTGACGTGGTCCCCAAAGCCCATTCTTCAGGCCATTCTGAACCATCAATCTCGTCTTTACCAGACTGAAGCCCCTACTTTGGACCAGTTACATCAGGAAAGGTACTTTCTTTGCTAAACATCCCAGAACTTTCACTTTTATTGAGAAATAAAATCTTTCTGGGTATATGGTCACCTTGCTTATCTATCTTTTGACTGTGTTGGCTGGGAGGATTCTGGTAGTAACTCTTCTTAGTGAGATTTCAGCATCTGACATATTTAAGGTTATAATTGTTTCTTTCATTTTTATGACCCTTTACTCAAGCCATATACATCCTTGTCAACCTCAAATTATTCAACGTGTGTTATCACAATGCTTACACTAACTCAGTGAGTTAAGTTGTGTGTATATACATACACATACACAGATACAGACACACAAACACATGCTATTAAGGATTTTGCTGGTCAAACATAATCTCTTATACCCATTGATCCTTTTTAAGGACTCTGATCCTTTGACTCCTATATTTTGTTCTCATTTATTATGGCTATTGGTTTCTCTCAGCTGTAGTCAATATCTGATCCCAATACTGTATATAAACTCATGTACACATAATAATCACTGCACTTACCAAAACTATTTAATATGGACAGGCACTGTTACACTTTTTGTATGCATAATTTTTAAATTCTTACAGCCACCCTGCAAGGTAGGTGTTATTACCTATATCTTACAGACAAGGCAACTGAGATTCAGAGAAGTAGTAAGTACCTGAGCCAGAATTAGCTCTGCCTCCAAGCCCATGTTCTCTTCACCACTCTGCCTTTCAATAAAAAGGCCTAATATCAAATTGAATCTTTTTTAAAAGAGTGAATAATTTGCATAATCACAATTTCTCCTAATATCCTAACTTATACCCCGTCATTCAAGGCTCTAGGTCTTGATTCTATTACAAAAAATTATGCTACTCTCTATTTAGTAAGGCAGAAGTGGAAAGAGGGAAATGTGTCCAAAGAATGTTGCTGGCATATGTGGTAAATTTGGGGGTTCTGTTGCCTAGAGTCTTATTCACATGGCATTTGTCCTCATAGACTTTCTCAAGCATTCAGGTCCTTCTGTCCCTTTGAAAAAACCAGGGGACAACACTTGTTTCCATGTCTAAAAGGCCTTAAACAACTGACTACTCAAAAAATCCTGTGGGTGGCCAGCGAAACTTGCTAGCAGTAGGAACTGGTATTTGTTGTGTAAAATGGCTCCTGTCTCAGAAGTGTCTGATACTAAACCATAGTAAGCATTTTTGACAAATTATAGGGCTATCCATATAGGAACTGAGGACTTTTTCCTTTAGTGTCTGATTCAGTAGCTCCCCCCTTCCCTCCTTATTTCCTTCAGGTATCGTCCACATCCTGCAGGGCTTGAGGGGATCGTGTGTGGACAGATGCCGATAACAAAAAGGTGAGTCAGGGGTGGTGTAGCTGAATAAAGGGGGTACCTGAGCCACAGTGTCCCTCTTTGTCACTCCCTCAACCAGCAGGAAGCAAAGAGATGGTCCAGCTCACCTACAGGAGCAAGCAAGGAGGAGTTCCAACATTAATAGGAGGGTTTCCACTGCCGTCCCGGCCTCTGAACGGGGATACATGGCTGGAATTCACAGCAAGTAACAGGGTCAAGACAAAGACTATTTCAGGACTGGCCCTACTCCCAGCTACTTGTTGGCACACCGTGAATAACAGCCATACTACCATGAGGCATATTCTTAATGCCTTTCTGAGAGCTCCAGCCCAGGCAAGCGTGGTCCTCTGAGGAGCAGGTACACAGCTCCTCCAGAGGGGCATGAAAAATGAGCAGTAGGGACCTTTATTCCTTGCTTTCTCGCTGTCTGAAATGGAAAGATAGAAGTTCCATACTGCTGAAGTCTGGACAGCACCTGTGCAGCTCTGGAGACGGTCTCTTCCATTCCTGCAGTGGTGTCCGCCCACTCCCCCCATGTAGCATCAAGTAACTTTGGCTGCCTTGGCTCATTTGTATTCCAAGTTTATCCTTCCCTTTAGTCCCTTAGAAATAAGTAGTTATCTTCCTGGGTGTACCAGCTCATTCCTCCAGTTTATTTTCTACCTCTTGAAAGGGGGTACCTTAACCTGAGGTACCTGGGATTATTGATTCCAGAGCTGGTCCTTTATACGTGCTAGAACAACAGATGTCTCCTGGGATTGCCCAGGCAAACCAAGATAAAGTCACCTAACCCAGACGGACAACAGCCACCTAACCGACTTGTAAGAATTAAACGAATGTACACCTAGGCCCAGTGTGGTAAGATTAAGGATTTGATTAAGTGAGCCGCTGGTAGCGATACTCTTCCTTTGGTGTTTCGACTCTCCGCACAGCACTTAATCTGCTGATCTGTGCCTCCCTTCCTATGGCCTTTCTTCTTTCCTCTTTCTTCCTTTACCTCTTGTCCTTGGCTTGTTGCCCTCTTCATTTCTGCCAGACCTATGCCCCTGACTGCCTGGGATTAACAAGAGGGTTTTACAACTCTGCTTACCCTCTTTTCGCTTGATTCCAGGGCTGGTAGCAGCCAAGCCCATTATTCTGGGTCCTAACCTGTTTGGTGGAGTTATTGCATCACTTCCCTGACCTTGCTCGTAGGGCCTGGGCACTCCTAGGAGTCAGGGGCAGGGTGGGGTTAGGGCTGAAACCCATTTGCACAGACACATTCTGATTTTATGTTCTATTAACAACTTTATTCTCCAGTGAATACTTCCTTTTCCACCCCTCTATCGTTCACCCTTGGGTTCACATACAAAGATCTCACAATATCTTCTTATATGTGCAAACATACCCTGAAATCTTCAGGCTAGAGGCACAGAAGTCCCTCCCTGGTAGGCCCTCCTGGCCCTTCACTGCCACCTGGCTGCTTGCCTCCAGAAGGGAGAGCAGCAGTGACTGCAGCACTATCCCAGGAGTAGGTGGGAGGCCAGTGTCCGTGAAGGGGACTAGTACGGTCCTGGCTGGCCCAATACCTGGTCTGGAATCTAAGCACAGCAGGAAGCTCCAGCCTGAGGCTGGGAGGAGTGTTTGGGGCCGAATATTGTCCATCCCTGAAAAACCTCCTGCATTCCCCGGAGGCGCCCGCACCCAGATGGATCAGTGTGATGTAGGGATCACTGAGTGTCAGCTCTAGCCCTCCTGCCCCAGTGTCCCAATCTGTGTCCCGGCCCACTGCTTCTCAGGATAGGAGTGCTGCGGGGACAGCTGTGGGCAGGCGTGAACGTCACACAGAACAGACAACGTCTGGGATTGCTACTTTCATTTCCCTGGAGGGCAGTGAGGCAGAAAGTGCAGAGCAGAAAGAGGATCCCCAGAAACAGAGCTGTCAGGGGAGGCAGAGCACAGAAAACTCAGGTGCTAGCGAACTGGCTGGGGGATGGCCAGCCGGTTCGCGCTGGGCTGGACCCCGAGGGCGGTCAGGTGCAACTGGGCGGGGGCTCCTGACCTCCGGCCGCGGGGCCAGGGCGGGCCGAGCGGCGGGGCATTTAAACCCCGCTGACAGCCCGTCCGCCACACGCGCGCAGCCCTGCGCCCTCCTCCGTCGACTCAGCTTCGGTGCCGGTCGGGCAAGATGCGGTCTTCCCTGGCTCCCGGTGTCTGGTTCTTCCGCACCTTCTCCCGGGACAGCTGGTGAGCGGGCTGGGGGAGGGAGGCCGCCAGCCGAGCAGCTCCCCGCGCGGGGACCGCGGGGCAGCCTCGGGAGACCGGACCGGGTGGGCCCCAGCGCCGCCGCGCCGCGCCGAGGGTCTGGCAGGGTCCGGTCCCGGGCTCCTTCGGCGGCGCCAGCCTGGAAGATTGCTAACGCACACTCCCTGCCTAACTCGGCGTTCCCCAGACTCGGTGGCGCGGGCCGTGTGACACTGCTGAAGAACAGGCTGCCTGGAAGGGTCTCCATCGTTTCCTGTTTGCCATCCCGTCCACCACACACACAGCGGGAGCCTTCCGAGCACCTTACTTTCACATCATTGAGCACCCGGGGGGCGTGGACCTGGACTTGGAGGCTGGGGAACCGAAGCCAGGTGGCAGAGTAAAAAGGTGGCCATGGGGGTTCATGAATGCCCTTTTTGGCCTCTGTTAGCCCTCGGGCAACACCAAGGCCAGAACTCAGTGGTCCTGGGAGCTTGCCTTGAGAGGTCCAGGCCCTGAGAGACGTCCCTGGAAAGGGCGTGCCTCTGAGAGAGCAGAGCTGCAGCTGCTCCACATCTGGTGGCCCCCCCACAGTGGGGGAGCTGGCTGTCACAGTTTTCCCCCTGACCATAGGAGGCCACAACAGGTGGGGCTGCCTGGCCAGACGGAGATGCTCAGCTGACTCTGTGTCAGAGGCATGCAAATGTCGGAGCAGTTTGCTTGGTTTACACGCTTTGTAAATACTGTGTTAGTTGCCATCATTTACGAATTATAAAATTTAACAAAAATACATTCCTGGCTTCCCTTGGAAAATAGATGATGTAGCAATACCAGGCCTAAATTCCCAAATTAAATTAGTAGGATTGAGGAGTCCTCTTTAGATAGGGCAGGTGTTTTTAGGGTAACCAATTCATCCTAGTTGAAACAGAAAGTCTTTTGTCCCCCACTCTTTCAGTCCTGGGCAGAGCAAGATGGCTGGTGACCCTAGGCACTTTCCAACTAGTGACAGTCTTCATCACTTCCAACCTTCTTCACTAATTTAGATTACTGACCTGGTCTTTTTTGAGTTTGGGACTGTTAAAAAATAGTTTTCAGAAAAAGATTAAAATCATGACTCTCATAAGAATATAAAAATGAACATGTGTTAAAGATTTTATTTTACTCATAATGAAGGAGGCAGATGTTCTAATTGGTTCAAAAGAGAATCCAGAGAAGGGAAATGGGGAGTTATTGCTTAATGGGTATGGAGTTTCAGTCTGGGAAGATGAAAACAGTTCTGAAGTTGGATGGTGGTGACGGTTGCACAACAATGTGAATGTCCTTAATGTCACTGAACTGTCCTCTTAAAAATGGTTAAATGGTAAATTTTATGTTATATATATCTATATATAGATATATATAGATATATATAACCACAATTTTAAAAAGAGAATCTAAAGAATATACCCATTTACAGATTAGGAATATTGAGGCCAAACTGGTTTTTCCACAGGTTGGGAGGGAAGACTATCGAAACTATCTTCATAGACATATTTTGCATGATTTACCAGTTACCTATTACCTTGAAGAATTGTAAAGTAGCTCAAGGTGAATAAAAGGCTAGAATCTGTGAGGGGCAGGGAACCTGCGACCTTGGGGCCACACGTGGCCTTCTGGATCCTTGAGTGCAGCCTTTTGACTGAATCCAAACTTCACAGACCAAATCCCTTTATTAAAAGGATTTGTTCTGTAAAATAAGGGGCCACACTTGGGGATCTGGAGGGCCACAGGTGGCTTTGAGGCTACAGGTTCCCCACCCAGTTTTTTTTCTATTGTCTCCCCTGTTTTGACTTAAAAAATAGTATCCTAGAAAGATTATTCTTGATCACAAAATCTAATAATCATTAGATTTGATCTGATTATTTATATAGGTACACCAAGAATGTTAATTTACCATATAGGCCTTGTTAGGTTTGCTTTACTGGAAATTTTCTTAAGGAATCTTATTAGATTTTTAAGAGCCTTTAACTATTTGTTGTCCTGAGATTAGGTAGCCAAGCCAGGAAACTATCTCCACCAGGTTTTACCTTGTGTACCTACAAATTTGGGCAAATTCCTCTCTTTTCAAGGTCTCAAATATTTTAAGGTTTCTGGGCCAGCCAGGGAGTTAACTTCCTTTTTGCCTATAGAGCTGGCAACCCGGTAAGCCAGTTTTCTTGGGAGGGTTCTATTAGTATTGGCTCCATACAGTGAATGTTAGTTCCTTAAAAGGGGCTGGCTATATCTGATTAAATAGGCATCCCCGTCAAATACGACATTCCAGGCAAGGCCTTGGTTGCGTAACAAATTTTTCTAATTATGTCCTCGTGAAAAAGAGCACAGATTCTAACTGAACCTATGCAAACAACCATATTGCCATGAAAAGCAAGAAGACTCAATGAGTTTCTGAATTCTGAGGAGTCAGGTAGGGGGAATAAGATATTTATAAATACGTCATTTCAGTTTACAAAAGCAGAGTCTACTAAATTGTTATGGCTTAATATAGCCTAAGAAGAAAGAGAAAGGTCTTCCTAATATGCTCAGAAAATAGAACACTGTAACAACAGCAAAAACGTCTCAAACATAAAGGACAGTCGTCCTTTATCAATTCATTCAGTCCTACGGGATTAGTTCTGTCCCTCTGAATCCTGGGTTAGCAATCTCAAAAACCCATCTGCTTCTTGACTACAGAGTTCTGGAACTCCTGAGTCAGTCCACTAAGATGTTCTCAAAGTTGTCTAATTAGTGCCATCCGAAGTCTGTACCCAAGAGTAAGTACTCAGTACAGTGCTGTTCTGAGCAGTTCTTGGCTGTTAAAGATGAAAACTCTGGCCTCCTGGATGCGGCGGAGCACCTGTTGTCCCATCTACTTGGGAGGCTGAGCAGGAGGATTGCTTGAGCCCAGGAGTTTGGAGCAGCAGTGTGCTATGCTATGATCACACCTGTGAATAACAGCCACTACACTCCAGTCTGGGCAACATAGTGAGACCCCATCTCTAAAAACTAAAATAAAATAAAATTCTATCCTCGAGCTGATTACAGAGGCTTTAGGAAGCAACAGAGTAAAATAAAAACTATTTCTGGATGACGGAGACTTAAAAAGCGCTGGTTAACTTAGTACTGATAATTTTCAAAAGTGAACTATTGGATGAGAATTCATGATAAGAATAACGCAACTGATGAGGCAATTTGGTTGCAAATCAAAAAGAAGACAATCTAAACAAACAAAAATTCTAGACAATGTCTAAAATCATAATAAGGCTAATTTCAAAGAAGATAGTGAATGTTACATTAATTTATAAAAATGGATGGACATAATTTTTACAGAGTGAAAAAATATTAAGATACAGCATATAAAAACCCTGAGACATAATTTACATAATATACTGAGAATATCAACTAAAGAAATTCAGTTAAGTCTGGAATTAGTCCTTGAAAACCAATGGCCTGGAAGATGCTAGATTTAAATTTAGGAAGTTGCAGTCCAGCAAGTAACATTTCAAATCGTACTGAAATAATGGCTGGTGACACTACACTGCTGTCATCAGGCAGGTCACCACCAGGGTGCTGATAAATGGAAACATGATGGACAGAAATGGCACCAAGAACTCCGCGCAAGTCCTCATACGGCTTATCATTTCTGAAATGTTTATATAAATAATATTTACCTATATAAATTTAACCTAGAGAAGGCTGAGTATCTCTTCTGATTTGACAATTATTCCCATGCAACTGATCAATATTAACATATCAAATAAAACTGAGTTATTCCCTGTACCTCTCTTTTTAAAAGACTAAAGAATAAATCTTTGTCATTTTCCAGGGGCTCTCTTTGTAAAAACAATATGAATAAACTCACCAAAATTGAGCCAGCTTTGGAGAAATTTTAACACAATTGCTTTTTTTCAGACATTATTTGCACATACTATAATCCAAGGCAAATCAAATTCCCTTTCCACAAATCTTTTACAAATGTATCCAGCATGTTTTGTCCTTCACTGTCCTCTTTGTCATTTCACCAGTCATTTACTTAGGATAAAATTCTTTTTTTCCCCTTAATAAACAAAGACACATTTCACTCCTCTGTGTACACTCTCTGGCACTGTTGCTCCTAGCAGAGTCTCATTTGTGTATATTAACTATATCCTTTAACCAAAGTAACGGATGTTACAGAGAGAATGGGGAGTGGGGAGGGTGGATCATTGTAAACAATCTGTCACACACCAGTGTTTTAGTGTAACGCAGCTTTCTCCAGCCACATGTCACTTGCACGCTTCTCAAAGTGTGAATTTAGCTACTGTGTTCTCCGCCATCTCTGAGATTTCAGACAGACCTGGTTTAAAGTCCTTCGACCACTGTGGGCCTTGAGTAGTTACCCCCACCGAGGCCCAGTTTCCTCATCAGTAAAAGTCGGGTGGATTCTCGAAGATAAATGTGACAATATATGTGAACATTCTTGCCTCCTCCTGGCTGACAGTGGGTACTCAATGGGTGTCCTTTCGCTTCCTCCCTGATGAGAATGGGTTTGGATTCCTATCAAACCCTAAACGTAATGTAGGTCTACTGCGGGTTCTTTATTATGCTGAACTCTGAGGCCTGCAAAGACCTTCTGGAACTAAGATCAAGTAGATAGAGGGTGTGTACACATAAGTCGGCAATCTTAGAAAGCCCTGCTCTGTGTAGTGAGTGCCAGAGGGTGATGTCTCACACGTGCTGTGTCATTCAGAGGACCAGCGAGGGGAATGGAGAGGTCGGCTGCGGTAATGTTGAGGAAAGCTGCTCTGTGGAGCGTGTCTCTACAGTACTGGAGATTGCATGTGTCAATTGCTCGGCATACAGGAAGCATGTAATTCACGGTGGCTCTTGTTATTGTTAGTGAGCATATTATCACAGAGAGATGTTAACCCAACTCACCTTTCCTGTGCCAAACCACACACGGGCTGGGGTGGAGGGAAACAGAACAAAGACTTATAGTCTGAAATTTA